TATAAACTGAATAAATAACACTACGATTAACCCTTCTTTACAAATATCAAATATTATTTTCAGATATAAATATTTATTGCAATTTATTCATATTCGTAGCAGCAAGAAGTTATAACTACGTACTAAACAAACAAACAATGTTAATGATTCACTGTTCACTGTTATTACTGACATTAAACGAGAAATAAATATAGTTCCTCTTTGGAATATGGGCCTATACCCAGAAGTTACATTCAATAAAACACCATATTGAATGAACAAATCAAATCTGGCTTCAACACAGTCAAATTCAATCAATTTTGCATCTTATATGTAATTTCTTGCTGAAACAGGTGAAGCGTTTGATTTCAAGTGGTCTGGCCTCTTGTGAGTGAGAATAAAAGAAAATTCTGCTGCATGATCAAGTATATTTTAGTCAAATAGATGTATGAATTTATCTATTGGGAACATAAAATTCAGGTTGGATTAATTGTCTTTCACTTACTAGCGACATTAAGAGAGTTCGATAACTCTCACGTATTTTCGGGAGAGCATTGTTGACTGCTCGGAAATCTTCGCATGTGTTCGGAAACCATTCTTGATTGTCCGATAATCTTCCCTCTTGCTCGGAGAACCATTATTGAATATTTAATATACAAGCTAGTAACGCCATTTTAAAAATTGATCACGAATATTCTAAGACCCGTGAAAATCATACTAAGCATACAGCATGTGTTTTAGTTCATTTTATAACTTCTGTTCAAAATGGTTTTCGTCTCAGTAAATACAGATCTAGTTACGCTCGAAATACGCGCAGAGACGCTTGCAAGTCATCGTGTAAAGTTCCCGTCAAATTTGTTCCGTTTTAACAGGAAGCGGATTGTATTGACAAATTTTATTAGAACCCTTAATATGAAATTTCATTAAGACCCGCCTAGTGGTTATCAAGCTGATTCGTCTGTAGAGACGGAAGGAAGGACGGAGCAAACTAAAATAGCCGTAAAATAGCCTGAAAATAGACCACGACCACGACCCTTAACACTACTTTAATTATCATCTTCCAGTGCTATGTGACAGATGCAGGTGAGATAACTCGTTATGCAAACTATGATCTACTCGACCTTCTCCTTAGACTAATGCAGAGTGCCATGAAAATATTCCTGTTTCTTTCTGCACTTCCCAGAGGGAAATAATCACATCTGTAATCTGGCTGTACTTTTCCATATTATATAGTTTAAATCACTTTCTAACATTCTTTGCAGTAAATTCTTCCTTCCTCTCTGTTCTCCGAAAAATTGTATTGACAAAGAAGTACAGTGTATTCCTACAGTCCCCATCACGTGCCGCGTGCACATCATCAGTTACAGACTTATTTTAACAATCCATTTGAAACGAAACATGCCGTAATTATTAGTTGTTGCACATAATGTTAGGGGGACTAGGTTAGATTCCTGGCACACAATTGTATGAAGAGATCATACAGCACGAGCTGTCCACAGTATAAACGTTCATGGAAAGAAGAGCCTCCATCTGTTGATGCGTTTCGGAACTACATCTGTTTCCTACTTATCCTTTATACTACCTGCCAGTTCAATGCAGAGCAAGAAGCTAAAGATAAAACACAAAGAGAAACTCGACGAATGTTTAGTGTATTTATGTGTCAATATGCCTACGGTAAATCTTAATATTAAACTCTGCATGTCGCTTGTGGAAACAAAACACAAAATTTTTCCTGCACTTATATTCCTGCTATGTATGATATTGCCACGTATTTTGGTGACTAAAGACGGGGTTCGGGTTGGTAATTGGATTTATTAAGAACCTTCAGGTTGTAACTGCAAATAATTTTTACTCTATTGCTGATTTACACAACTTACAATCACTCCACACTAATTTTTTCAGTCTAATTTCCATTAGCTTTCACTGTCCGTTCCCTGGCAACGTATTTATAACACAGGAAGTATAAAAGTCTCACCAAATTACACGCTCCCAATATCGATATACTACAGCACATGTGACGTCACATACTAAGTTTTGTAATTCTTCTGGCCACACTGCTTTTCCCTTTGAATTTCGCAACTCAAGTCCAGTCAATTCCCTTTCCCGCATTCTCCAATATCCTCTCGGAACGGACCACACACAGAAAACATAGCCCCTCTATTGTTGCATGGCGCACACCACACAGAAAACACGTGTCATGTGTCAGACTGCGAGTTCATTGGTCCGTTACCAGCGCGGACTATATAGAAAACAGCAGCCTCATCTATTGTTGCGTGTTGGACCGTGTTTGCAGAGCTGTTGCCTGGAAACGCGTTGATGAAATCCGTTACATTAATAATCAAAGAAAGTTTTCCATATTCATAAAGAAAATGCTTCATCCTTCGTACGATAGCGATGTCTGACTGTGCAAAGATTTGCGTTTTGAATAATTTTATTTTTTAGAAATACAAGTGAAAATATAATTCTTCTGCCATTCCTTTCTCAATATAAATACTTTTCATGTTTTTTGGGTAAAAGGAAAATTCTAAGTTACCCTATTAGGTCCATGTATACAAATGAAGAGAAACTAACTTCTTCACGTAAAATATAGCCTGAAAGAGAGCAAGATACCTTCTCTGAAACCAACATTTACACCCTCTGGAATTAAGGGTATATGCATATTCCTTTTAGTTAGAATCGCTGCTGGTTCAGCAGAGATATATTTCTTTAATACATTATACTTTACCCTCTAAAAATCCGCAACTCATTCGCAAATATATTTCTTATAGTAGCGCCTAAAAGAAAGGGAGGTATTTTCACTATGTACTAGAAGTTGTCCTATACCTCCACTACGTCATACGTCTTCACGACGTGGTACTTAATCAATTAAGCACAGGGATAAATTCATCTCACTTTTTTTTTCCTTGGCACTACAGCCCCAGTGGGCCTAGGCCTACCTCCATGAACTTCACCGTTCACATCGGTTTTCTAGATCTTACACATTCGGTAGGACTCCTTGGGCGGGTGATCAGCTCGTCTCAAGGCCTCTACCTGTACACAAACACAGAAAAACGCACACAAACATCCATGCCCTGAGTGGGATTCGAAACCACGATCCTGGCATCCGAGCGAGCGAAGACACTCCATGACTTAGACCGCTCGGCTACCATGACCGGCCATCTGACCTTTACTACAAATTATTTTCCTTTAGTATACAAGTCGTTGTTTCACTCTGCAGACACGTCCATCACATCGTTGTGATTGTATCTAGAAGTTTCAGTGAAACATACTTTCAGCAATACATCTGTTTATCCCGCGCAGTAACCTGCCATTGTTGTTTGCTCACTGCCGGTCTCTCCCTAACTATTGTCACCACCAGGTCTTGATCAGTATCACAATCTGCTGTCCTAAATGATCAGACATCAAGTATACTTCAATGCCCTCCCCTACCTATCAAAATATGGTCAATCTGATTGTGAGTCTTTCCATCAGGAGTTGTCCAATAGATTTATGAATGCTACGATGCCGGAACCTTGTATTTTTGACATCCAGAGTTTTGATTGTGGCAGAGTTTACTACTCTAACTTCATTATCATTCTTTATTTCGTGTTAACTCTAATTCCCAATTGTTGATTTGAAAATGTCTTCCCTACCTACTTTGGCACTGAACTCTCCTAACAAAATTTTCTTATGGTATTTAGGAAATTTGTCGAATACCCATTCTAGTTTGTCGTAGAAGCTGCCCTACTTATCATCAATAGTAAAGATAGCAGCGGCACGTACACAAGGAGACTACACAGAATAACACCTATACAATACTAGATACAAGAAGAAGCCGCTGCAGCACTAGAGACATATGGCGAGTAATCCTGACATTCTTAAATTTTAAAACTTAGAGAAAAAATTTAAAGGATTTAAAATTAGAACCGAAGATTTTATAAGTGCTAATCAAGAAGACCTATGTTTTTAAATTTTAAATGTTATAAATAAGTGCAGTGTAACAGATACGTGAGTGTATACACCTGATGATGTCCGTTTGGGGCCGAAACATGTAGTGTATAGAGAAGAACAAGACTAAAGACCTATAAATATAGTTTGCACTTAGGACGGAGTTATGTCATATATAAATGTTATCCTTTGTTAGAGTTTGAACACTGATGTCAGAGCAGCGACCTTTCAGTATTACGTATGACATCCTATAACTAACAAACTCTAACGTCATAACTGCTGATATGATTCTCTTTTGCACAAAAAACCTGTACCTAATTCATGATTCTTATTCCTCTTCACATATGAAAATATATAATCGCCTGCTGGTTCGGTGACACGTCTGTCCCATTTGATATCCTGGATTCCCACTAAATCTAACTTATATTGTGACATTTGTTTCACATCTCTCATGAACGAACGTGCCCAATACAGACTTCTTACATTCCACGTACCATGTCTCATATCCATTTTCCATGGCTTAGGTTGGTTTTCCATAGAATTCATCCAAGGTCCTTTGTGACATTTCGTAAAAAGCCTTTTTTTTTTAAAGTGAGGAGTTGTTAGCCTCACGCCCAAGCTTGAGAAACACCACTTCTTGGCTGTCCGCGATTGCTTATTCAATATATTCGCACTTACTCTCCATATCTGGAGGCCGTCACCTCCATCCGTAACCTGAGGACGCGCCATGCCGTGGTGACAAGGGACCCACCTAACATGGATTTTTAACAAGAGTTACCTGAAAATTCGACGTTAGTACTTGTGCGTGCTACTCGCATTAGAGAGTGCGGGAGGCTCACTTATTTTCCATACAAGTCGCCGATTGGTCCCGCATACACGCCAATAAATGTTACCTCGCCACTACCTGCCTCAGGTTGATATCCGTGTGTCAGTCACACTGTAGTAGGTGGGCAGGTCATGCCGTGCAAAATGCAAGTGCATGTCCTCGTGTTCGTGCTGCTAACGACTTCAGTAGCGGCCCTGCCTGCAGGTTTAATAGCAGACCGGAAGACAGCAGCTGATGGCTGTGCTAATGACAGTCTTTCCATTTCCAGAAGTAACATGAGGAAGAGGAGGCGTCGCTGGCATTCAACACGAATTGGATCATGTTGTAGTGCTCTGCAGGAATGGATGGTGGCATGTCCATTCACTGAACTGACGCAAATTAGAATGATTAGAACTTTTTTACGACCACGCTTTTGTCTACGAAGAACTTTCAGTTGTTATGAACTGTAAAAATATGAAATAGAATGAGATTTATTGAAGACTGCAAGCATTTATACTCCCGCAACTCTGATACTACTACCACTACTGTTATTCCTTCTGCTGCTACTACTACTACTACTACTACTACTACTGTACTGCTAATGTTACTAACGTTACTATGTTGTTCGACAACCATGTGTTGCGCTTTTGGAAAAAAGAACAAATTCAAGGAGAACTGTAAAATGTAGGACTATGACAAATATTGAAGTATCCCTAGGCGAAAGCGATAGTTTTGTGGAGATTAGAAGGAACACAAATAAATTTGGCTTACATAACACTCCCAGCAACCATCCACCGTGTATAAAAACCGCACAAAACTACGCCTTACTGAATATCAGTAACCTAATGTTATATTGAGGCATCCTGTTGCATTGCATAGACCTGACTTTGTGTTTTGCTTTTATGCCGTCTATGTGCAACGTCGGTTATTATTCACTCGTCTTTTCTCCGTATTGACACTACATGTTTCCGCCTAACTGGCCATCTTCAGGTGTACAGGTTGTTGGGATGAAGGGATCTGCCGCCCACTGTAATGGTATTTTGTTTCCCTTATGTAGGTTCCTCGGATTAGGCCAAAAGATGTAGTGTAAAACAAAGAAAGACGAAGAGTGAATAGTAAACGACTTTGGAAACAGACGGTATGAAAGCAAAACTCAAAGTCAGATCAGTAAGCTAGATATACAACGCCTCCTCAACGCCACAACAATACTCCGTATCGCATACAAAATCCACACTGCAAGTCAAGAAACAACAAGACAAACAAAGTGTAATAAGCCACATTCAGAAACAAGTTAGACATAATTTTAATAAAATTTCAGCAACATTTTGGCAGACCTTAATAAAAAATAATACATTGTACAGCAAACACATCTGTATTCTAACTGATAAATGTCCTTATGAAGACGAAATGTGTTGTAGAATGGAAAAAAAGAAAGTAAAGTTATCCCTATAACAGGTCGTGAATGCTCATAGGGTTGTGAGACGTCGAGGCTCCCACATTTTCTCTAAACAATCGGCTCACAAACGGCGGTAAGATTGTCAGCCTTAAGCGGCGCCTGCATTTTTACCCCCCAGGAAGATTTCTGGTGCCCATTTCTGTTAAGAGGTTCAGTCGACCCCAGGGCCATAGTTCTGCTGGAAGGATTAGGTAAATTTAAAAATCCACCTCATCGGGGCTTGAACCCACGACCTTCCGGCTTGTAGCATAAGGCCTCAACCAACTACGCTACCGCTTGCCCCCATGTTTTAGAAAAGAAACTGTAATATATGACAGCATAACGCAACACCAATCTACGAGCACGACAAGAAGTTACACCTCAAGACTGTCCCCCTGATTCAAATGACAGGCCAGGAGGTTCCTCTTCAAGACACGAGCGCGTGCTACATGTTCAAGCCAAATTATACTTGTAGGTAGAAGACCTCACAAAAAGAGTACAAAGAACGTGAACAGAACCATTGTGCTCGCTGCAAAATGGCCACAGTTTTATGACACTGTCAATCTTCTTTTTGCAAAGCTGACGGAAACTCTCTTTGTCGGCATCTGTATTCATCTGCTGCCAGTATTTCAGATAGGACTCATTGGCGAATGTCCAACTTACACAACGTATAATATGTCCAGAGCAGACAATATGAAAACCAGAGCCATTTGGCGATGCTATCTTTATACTATTCTGGTAAGTATAGAATGCAGTGAGATCCCTGTCAATATCTTGACAACTGTTGGCGGCAATGGTGATCTGCTCGTCATTATAGACAAATGCATCCAACACTCAAAGACAAGCCTGATAGAATATAATTCACATAAAGACATGTTGCACAATTAACTATAGTCTTCTTCCTGCTTTTTACCATCCTCTGCCTCCTTCTCTCCTTTGAACCACAAGGCGTTCCTGCTGACCAATAACCTAACAGGTTGGTAGCTTTACAAGAGATGTAAAAATGTGGTCTGCTATAATGTCATCACATTTGCCTAAACCTGACGTAAACCAGTAATTGTACTTTACGTTTACCAACTTTTTTATTTGTAAATTTTATATATTCTCTAAGACAAAAAAAACTTACTGGCAAACTATAGATTCCTTCTGTGCTGGGCGCTAAAATTAATTTTGATCGTATATTCCATAAAAATTATTTAAAATAACATCAGTGCACAGGCTAAAAAAATGTAATATATATTTTATTGCGGCATATTTTCATTTCTTTTCTTTCCTTTCAGTTATTCTGCGTGTCGGAGGGATGTTAATTGGTGAAAGTTTTCTAACTTTCTCTTTATTTTTCTCTACGCCATTGTTCGCTACGAGGCAAATGTGAGCGATGATCACGGTCAGAAATGCAGAGAAAGGAAATCGAGGTTTATTTTAAGACACTGTTCTAACGCCGCCCTGGAGAGTGAGCAGACTACGAAACGGCTAGCTCCGAAATTCTGCCCTAGGTGTAGTCGTTATAGAGAAAGGTTTTGAAAACATGTACAAAGTAGATATTTTAGTTTTCTAGGTAGGATACTGGATGAGGAGGGACGGTTAAAGTACTTAAATTAATGTTGAGAATAATTTTTCGTAGGAGAAATTTAGTATTGTGAACATCCTGAGAGGGATGCTGAACATAGGCGTTCTTTCTTCACATTTGTAAGAAGTTAAATTTATTTATTTTGACTATCTTTAGACACAGATTTAATCCGTATTAAGGCTCTTTTTAAGAAGAATGCATTCCAGTTCGTTGGCTCATAGAATTGTGAACAACAGAGGCTCATTCGATACTGGATATAACTAACGGTGAAATATAATATATACAGACAGTCGAAGGGAGAGAAGGAAAAGGTTACGCTGCGAACTAGCCCCAACAACGTAGTACACTGAGAAAACGTGTTCTTAATATGAAAAGAGCAGTCTTCTGGGATGTGGCGGGGTGTAGATATTGTGTTAACCGACGTTTCGGAGGAACGTATCACCTCCATCTTGAGGGTAGAAGAAAAAACAAGAAAATCCACTAGCGAAGAACCGGTGTGAACAGGTGCAAATAGATAGCTACACGGCGCCACATCCCAGAAGACTGCCACTCTTCATAGTCACCGCCGTGAAGACCTCAAATTTTACATGTACTTAATATGATTGTTGAAAATGAACAGAATTATTCTCAGATCTTCAATACTGACGGTGCGGGATATAGTGGATAATGCCATATTTTATTTTAGTTTATTTTGGGGGGAAATTGGAATCAGGTTAAATTTTCTTATGATCGGTTATGTTCGGTTAGTCCATCAGACCAATGGGCATTCCTTCGAGTATTTTACTCTGTATTCTGGTAGAATTTTGGTAGTTTGGATTAGGTTAAGTAAGGTAATGTTAGGATTAGTTGACGCATCACACCACAGAGAAATGACCTGAACTTTAAAAATATTTTATGCTTTTAAAATGTATGACATTTTAACATTTTTAAAACTTCAAATCTTTGTAATTTTGTAATATTAAAATTTTCAAAATTCTCTATCGTTGATTTCTTTTAAAAATCCTCAAGGTTTCTTCTAATGTTTCGGACTTTTTAATCTTAAATTTATTAAATATTATCTCATTTTATATTTTGAATGTTGAATAATTTGTTTATGAAATGAAGATCTCTAAATAATTAGTTATCCTGGTCAATGATGATGATGATGTTGATTTGTTTTGGTATTAATTTCTGTGATTTATTTTACAACGCTAGTAGACATATGTGCTTAAGTAAGAGTTTATATTGTCGGGTTCTGTCCCCATTAAAACCATTTGCCTTTCTTGTAATTGGGAGTATTGCTGTGAAGTATAGAATTATTTCATATTCAGGAAAGACACCAGAAAAATGGTTGTATGATATTTCAGATTAAGGATTCGCTTTCCATTTTGGGTGTGATATGTTATACTCGTATTCCTATGTGTGATCAGATTAACTTTATGATTTAGAAGGATATTTTGTATACTTCATTTGAACATGATGTATATATATCTTCCTAATATCTGATTTCTCCTCAGATGAGTACGTGCATAACATGGTGTCAACAATAGGTCTACTCATCTAGACCAGGAATCGAAAGATTCATATTATCTGTGAAAACGCATTCCACAAAAGCGTTTTTCTTATTTTACGTATATCATTTGTTTCTGTAAGAGTGAATTTCGAAGAAAGATAACTACTGCAGGTCAGATATTCAGCGTTTGTCAAGCAGCGAAAGAAAAAAGGGTGGGGGGGGGGTGCAGTGTGATAGTACAGTACCTCAGCTGTTTATTGACCACCAAATCCTATGTTTAAGTTATAAGGAAAATATTGTACAACATTTGAATTTAATTTGGCATACCCATGAAACAGACTAGGCCAACTAAAAAGGTTTTAGAATTAAATCTGTAGTAAATATTGTTAACATTTAGATCCATTTCTAGGCAACGCCTGAAATACACGCACGCAACAATAGGAAAAGTATAGCAAGGAATGTTTCCTATGTGGTCCGCATCATTCCCGTTGCTAGGCAACGGTTCGCTAAACATATTCCGGCGACAACGGATACGCAGGCAACAAATGGATAAGTTTCCGTTGCTATGCAGTGCGCTGTAAATAGAACAATAAAGGAAGAGGTGTTGTCTGTGGGTCCGCCTCAAGACTATATAAGTAGTCCAGTCGTAAATCAAACGTCAGTCGTACCTCGAGAATGAGGAAGAAACGAGAACAAGAACGAGAATGAGAACGAGGACGAGAAGGAGGACAAGAACGAGAACAAGAACGAGGACGAGAACGATGACAAAAACGAGGACAAAAATAAAGGACGAGAACGAGGATGTAATATTGGCGGTAACAGTGAAAATTGCATCTGATTTATTTTATTACAGTTCAGTACGCGCCTTTAGCTTTACAAGTTCAAAACCCTAAGTATAGTGGCTGCCAACTGGCTGAACGTCTGGGGTTCG